GATTGTGATAAGAGCTGTAAAAGCCCCCAATAAAATGATTAAAAAGAAAGAAAGAAAAGGTATTCTGCATAGTGGGAAGTTGTGGGTTAAAGTCTAAAGAATACCGAGTGGTTTCTTTTATATTTTAAAAGTTGCTTTACTCAAGTAAAATTCGCACATATTAAAATTCCCCAATTGCACCAATTTTGAGTTAATAGTTTGAGGAAACATGTTAGGAAATGTGTACAGGCCCACATCGTCACCACCCCATCAAAAGTGTATTTTTAAAAAGGGCTTCACAGCCATTTTTGTGTTTAATTATCATATTTCGAAATACAAGATGTGTCATTTGCTGTTAAAACAAAGCACTGTGGAGGCAGCAAGGCAGGCTATAAAGAGCACAAATAGACATGCTTTATAAAAAAAAACTGAGTTTCAAGCCCACTTTTTGAGCAAGCCACTTAATTTCTGAAAGCTTCCATTTCTTCATCCGTAAAATGGAGATAATGAAACCAACTTCTTAAGATCCACTGTGAGGATTAGAAGAAATGATGTTAAGCATCTAGCCCAACGCTGTGAACAGAGCTGGACCAGTACGTGGTATTGGCCTTATCACAATTAGACAGACATTTGCTGCTGAGTTACCCTGGGGGGTGAGATATGCATGCTGTGGACCCTTGAAACCTGTTGGCAAGGGGTTTGAAGCGGCCCTAAATGATGCCTTTGGAAAAGGTTGCAGAGATGGGAAATGGTAAAGTAATTCTGAGTTCCGGTCCCCTCCTGGTCCTATTTCACAGTCAGTGGCGAAGGCTCCAGGCCGAAGCTGATTGCCTCCAAGTGGAATGGCTATTTGAGAATTGACTCGGGGATGAACTTGAAAGGTTTTTCTCCTCCTCGGTTTGCCAGACCATGAGAAACTGAGGCGAACACATCTCTAAGATCCGCTCACTCAGCCCGGTCCACCCGCTCCCGGCTCTGTCTCCCCCTTCCCAGCTCTCCAACACCCTTACAGCCACCATGCTGGCGTGTCAAGACCAGCTTTGGCACTGTCTCATGGAGCTGAGACCGTTGACCTGCCCGTCCTATTTTGCATTCAACGCTGCAGCGTGCCTGCATCGCAGCCAGTGCCTACTGGACCGCTGGGTAAGATGCTCCCTTCACTGACTCGGCTTCTTGGGGATCCCTCGTTCCAATTCCCACCACCCCTGGCAGAGACACAGAGGACACAGCTGCCACCGTAACAGAATTCGGGGCACCAGGATGGAGCCTCAAGTCTACCTGAGCAACAAAGCGCTGGAACTC